GGGCTGGGATTGGGATGCCATTATGAATACCAATGAACAGGGGGGAAGGGGAGAGCTCAGTTGTAATTGACATATTGCTTGCAGAGCACAGAGGCACCCATTTCCATGAGAATATGAAGAAAAGCTAACAAAAACTGTAGGTTTCTGTGTTCATATACAGCAACTGCATATGCCTGCTTTATGTACAGTACACTGGCGCATGCCGCCTCATGATTGGGCGGGGCTAAAAAGACATTTTTAAACGCCGGCTCACATTGAAGAATCTCCCGGCTGGCAAGGAAGCGGATAACACACAATACACTGTCCGGGAAAAGGGGTTTTGGGGTGCCACTGGGCTGATGTTTAGCTCACCCTAGTTTACATTTTCTTTCTTTGTGATAGGGAAAATATTTCTTCCAAACCCCGTGATTACACTATTAAAGACTAACTTCAGCCATTTTTTTAGGATAAATTTAAGAATAGTTCAGATGTTTGCTGTCCAGGTGTGACCATGCCACCCGACTTTCACAAGAGCTATCAGTCCAGAATTGTTGAAGTTATGTGAACATGGGAAAAAAAGGATTTTATACAGGTATTTAAAAGTCTTTTCCTAACTTCTACTTAGGATAGTGAATAGTGATGCAATGACCTGATTGTGTATCCTTTCCATCAGATACCTTAGGTTTGAAGATAAAATATTTATGTGAATTCTATTTTAAAAAAAAGATTGTGTGGGCAGTCTTTGGACAGCTTCCTCTTTTTTGCTTTTCCTTTAAGAAACTATTTTAGAGGGCATCTCTAGATTTTTAAACGCAGGTAGGAAGCTTATCAAACAAGGGGAGGTTTTGATCAAGTGTTGCCCTCTTCTCAGCTGGGTTTCGTCAAACCAGGGGGTGAAAAAGGCCTCACCTTTATTATGAGATGTTATGATGCATGCTAAAATATCAAAATTAAAGAAAAAGAAAAATTGCAGCAATAGGTACCTCATTATATTTGGTGTAATTGTGAGGCACTTGAATGTAAGAGTAAACATGCAAATTTAGCTTACATCTAGAATACCGGAGGAGCCCCAAAACAGAGAGCACTTTATTATGGAAATCATAGTTTAAAGTAGGATCTCCCACCTCCCAGTTTCCCCTTAGCCAGCAAGTACAGTTGTTAAAGTTTACCCAGAATCGCACAAAATAATGTAATGTTAGTGTAACAAATTATACTTCCATAGTAAATGTGTAATGTGATATTCCCAAACAAGTGTTGCTTTCTAGAAGACATTTAATTTGAAATACACAGAGATTGGATAAGCACTTTGTCAATCAGTATAGTTGATGGGCAGCCTATGTGTTGCTTTGAGGCGTTGCTCTCAAAACTTCATCAGAGCAGCATCTGCAATGTAAATGCAACTGTTCAGCACAGACCACTGCACTATGGGAAATGAGCTGCTGCTGCTGATACTTCTGGAAGTAAAAGACCTCCTCTTCAAACTATCAGCATTTAAGGAGAAACTAAGCTCTGGAAGATGTGCCACAAAAGCAAGAGAGAGGGCAAAGGACTTGTCACCAGTATTGCCTGTGGTCTCCCTGTAGCCCATTTATCCCCATTACTGACTTACAATGTCTTGTTCTAAACTGATTTGTGTAGGGACGGCCATCTTGGTAGAAGTAGGACTTTTGCTTCCCAGTGTCAAAGCCTTCAGCAAGAACATCAGTTAGCAGAACAGTAGTAACATGCCTAAAATTAGAGGCAGCAGTGCTTTGAAGTATATATAAACCCAAAACCTTTTTTCTTATTTTGGATAGATCAGGGACAGTAACAACCACTGTAATTTTTTTCCAATCTGTGTTACATTGGGAAGATTCCCTTTCACTTTTCAGTAATTTTCCCACTTTTCCCCACCACCAAGATAAATAGAGGGGTGAATCTCCTTAGAGGGGACATATACAGCAATAATAACATGGTGAATGTACTAATCTTTGCCTACTCTTTCCAAAACTAAAAGCAAAATTGGGGTTTAGATATACTTTAATCTCACACTTAAGATATACAGGCTGTGGGCATAGGAATGCCTAGGAAGTGCTCTGACAATTCTTAGGTGGAATTCCATTAGACATGTAAGTTACATTTCATGTAGAATTTAAGTTCGGATAATTTTCTTTAAATGTTGACATTCGCATGCATCTGAATTCTTGAATTTATCTGAAATTTTGGATGCATCTGAATTCCTGAATGGCAAATATAATGAATTCAAATGTATCCAAAATTTTTGATAATTAAAATTTGGATGCACCCAAATTCTGTCTGA